AGCAGATGAGTATCAGCCACAACCAAACTGGTGCTCTCACGAGTTCCAACAGACACACCCCACATTGCTGCCACAGACTGGAAACAGAAGGAGACTCTCCTGTAGCCAGAAACGTGGACTGGAAAGATTTCAGTGCACTTCAAAAGATTATTTTTGGGTTTTTTTGTCTTCTCCCCATCACGTTGTTCAGACACAGCCACTGGAGAAACACCCAAGACCAAAACACCCGACCGAACACGTGCCACGGTGGTGGCCTCACCGGCACACGCCGGGGCCGCACGCCGCAACCAGCCCCGAGTGAGAACCCGCCCGTGCTGGTGCGTTCGGGCAGGACAAGCGGGCAGCAGGGCCTGGCTCTGGGGTCACCCCGAGCTCGGTTTGCAAGGGCAAAGGCAGCGACGCGCAGCAGCGCGGGGCTCCCCATGCCTCGGCCAGCAGAGGGGGCAGCAAAACCAGTCTGCCCAGTTCACCCCACGCCCCAGATGCTCTACATGCAAATAGCAGCGCCGCTTGCACGCCGTTTGTCTCAAATTATTTGTAACCTTGCAAAATGGCACACGCTGAGACAGCGTGACCGCCCTCGTTTTCCAGAAGGCTGAACAACTTTTAGGAAAGGGACAATTTTCACCGCCGCCGCTGTGACACCGGACCTGCTGCGGTCCAGAGCCAGCCCAACACCAGCTTTGGATCCTTCCCTTTCCACGGCGCATAAAGCAGCAGCAGGAAGAGGCACCGCTCCGTGAGAACCCACCTTCGAGGCGTCTATGACAAAACTGTGCGCTACGTTCGCGATGAAGCCATCGACGTGGACCCCCAAGTCACTGCAACACAAAGAAGGCGGATTACAGGTGGGACATCACAGCTCAGGAACCTCGCGTGACTCCAGAGGCACGAGAAGACTCCAGCATGTGTCACTGGACTAGCCATTAAACTCCTGAATTAGCCACGCCAAGGAAAACGAGAAAGCAAAGTCCAGACGCCAGCAGGAAGCTCGCAAGAAGCACGACGACGTCACTTACATTTTAACCAAGTCTCCGTCTTTGAGGATGTAGTCTTGGTCGCTCTTCAAGGGAGAGAAGTGGCAGACGCAGTTATTTACTGATATACTCGTTGGGAAGGCAATACCTACACAGGGAAAAAAGAAATATTCCATGAAACCTTGCAGCCAGGCAGCAGCCTCGCCAGCTCAGGATTTCGGTTTTCGGAGCACCGTGAAACGCCCCGTTCCACAAGTCTGTAGCCAAAACGCCACGAGGAGCGCGGCACGCGGTCTGCTCCCGCACCGGCTCTCCTCCGGCCCGGGCA